CTATACGTACCCGCGTATAATATTATCATAGGCGTGCGCAGGGGGGATGCCGGGTATGCCATGGCATCCCCTGCAGAGTTATCATAACTATATAGTTTTTAGTTGTAAATGATTTGATTATAAATTAAAATCATGAACTTAAGATAATTCATGGTATCTTAGATGAAGAATTTAAATGTTTTGATTATTTTTAAGCTATTGCATAGCTTTTATCGCAGGTCTGGTGTAGTGACTGAAAAAAATTTTTCGTAACGAAAAAGCGTGACCACTTTGTTTATTTATACATACTATAGCAACCTGGTGACCATAGCAACGCATAGCTAAATTATAATTTAATTTTGATAACAGTTATTTATTTTTAAATAACAACGACTATGAACATAAAGCGCTTATAAATATAATGGTTTTGTTATGGGTTGCTATAGCAATAAATTTATATATATAAATATATGATATATAATAATATATTATTAATTTTATATATTTATAATAATATATATAATATATAATATATTATAGCAATAAAAACATAAACTATAGTTTCTATGATACAAATTCCTGAATAAATAGAATAATAAAAAAATTTAAAATTATATCAACTTCTTATTTATTTAATATGCAATAGCTTTATCGCGGCAGTCCCCAAATGCCACTTTTAATATTTTTATATAATTTTCTTACAATAAAATATTGAGAGTTGAGATGAAATCAAATACTAATTAGATTTCATAATCACCAGATTGCTAACTCATATTAATATAGTTGAAATCAAAATCTACCATTTTCGTGAGAATTGCAGGTTTTATCACCAGAACATTCAGGCTCCTGCTGTATTGCTTATTTTCATACTACCTACAACTATTAAAAATAAAAGAATTTCAATTAATTAGTTTATCGTTATTATATTATTTTAATAATATGATCAAATGTCTAAATTTTTTTTTATACTGTTACTTTATTGGAATGAAATCACAATACAAGCTTTTAAAATTAAAATATCTAAAACCAATGAATAAGCTAAACAAAATGCATGTTAATTTCTTTTCGCATTACGCCATTTGCCATTACCTAAATGGCTATATCTTAAGTTATTTGTACCTATTACCTAAGAGTTTTTGGGGAGTTATTTTTTGTTTTGAGCTAGGTATTTTTAAAAATACTGGCATACCCTGCGAAAAAAGTCTGCGCACGCGTATGAATATTATGTATGCGTATTCGTATATACTCGTCTCTAAACACACACACACACACACACACACCCGTCAAATAATATATTTACACATAAATATAGAATATATATACTCGAGCACGCGTGTTTGTGTATGTGTGTGTGTGTGTTTGCTCGTCGGCAGATTAAGGGTTTGATGACACCGTATATAGACGTACTTTTTGCATGATTATCTCCACACACTCTCACACGTACACCGTAAGTATACGTGTACGTGTATTCCGACAATGGTATATATAATATTATATATATTGTACGTACCTATAATATATAGAAGGTAAAAAAAAAACACCAAGAATAGTAGGTAACACAAAGAACCGATTTGTTGTTGTTTTTTTTTTTATTTGTTCTCTTTTATCGACGCCGCGCCGCCACTGTGCAGCGGAGGTATATGTATATTATGTATATATACACAACAATTTTGAATAGGTGTCGGAGGCGAAAAAAGGCACAATGGCGTTAAATCTCCGCGTGCGTACTGTTTATATACATGCATAATGTATGTATGTATATATATCAATACACGCGCGTAACTGGGCACCGCAGTAGCAGTTTTTCTAGTAATGTGCATGTCGAAGTGGTGTTTGGCGCCGCTTTCGTAACGTCAGTCGGACATACCGGAAAAACATAACTCTACATAATATAATAATATTATATTACAATATGTACATGTATATAGGTATCTCCGTATATATCGTTGGAGGTGGTTTGGCCGTGCTTGCACTGCAACTGCCGCGGCCGATGCAGTAGCGAGTTATGCAACAAACGAAAAATTGTGTCCAATTTTTTCGGGGTTAACTCGAAACGACGCGCCGCACAGTGGTCTGAAATGCAATTTTAGGAGGACAAAAGTATTATTTTAAAATATTTTTAGAAAGGTTGAGAGTATTATATAATTGTTGTATACAACTTATCTAATATAAAATATATAGTACACAATATAATTAACGAACCAGCATGAACTGTAATCACAATCTGATTACATGAGTAGTTTGATTTTATGTCATTACCTGTTCGATCGTTCAACGTGTATTTCAGGCAATTTTTGTGAGTACAATATTAATTGTTTTCGAGATTTTTTTTTTTACAATGGAAGTCGATACAAAAGGTAAGTTAAATATTTTATGATTAATATATTTTTTAATTTATTGATAGGTTCAATAGACTAAATCAAATTGGTAAACTTGAATTTTTACTTCATTATTAAACTTCAATGGAAGGTCTTTTAAAAGTAAGTAGTAACTAATAGTAACCATTCACGAGTAATATCCTCTTATAGTACAACTTCCTATAGATTAAATGGTATAACTTTCATTTGCAGCCATTTGCAGCTGTAGTTTTTATTTTTACAGCTGGTTCTAGTGTAGAGAAAAAAAATCAAAAATTACACATATGAAGATTTCTTTAAATGTTTGCGTGATGTAGGCCCTTTAAAGCCTCAAAGTATTGAATCCAGGCTATTTATTTTAAATTTATTATAAAATAAATATAATTTAGAACATTGGGACAATATGTATGAAAAACTTGTGATGGAAAAAATTCGTAGTTTTGCAGTAATTTTGACAAGGTGTTATGGGCTAAAAGTGCTAGAAAGTTGAGTAATTTATACAAAAATAATAAACAGTGGCTTGAAACAGAATTTATAATGCCAAATATTCAACCCTCAGTTACTTCTACTTCATGTTTATCAGTTGGCCGACCACCTATAAGGCATTTGCTGAATGTACCGAAAGATCGAAAAATAGAAAAAATAAATATTAATATTAATTAATATTAATTTCTTTAATTCTAATACATTGTTAACTTAATTATACTAACTAACATTAACTAAACAACATTAGGAAAACATATTGTAAATAAAATAATTTTGTCCGCCTAAAATTGCATTTCAAACCACTGTGCGCCGTACCGCACGCAGATATATTTAGAATTTACATTATTTAATGCATAAAATAGATAAAGTACATATTATAATAGTGGGCGGAATATTTGAGAGAGTTTCACTATTTACATTATAATATAATATTATAGGGTTATATAAGTTAGGTAGTTATATACTGTAATATTTATTCATATTCTAATAGAAGTCCACGACAAATTGGTGATTATCCATTTTTAATAATAATTTATAGTCTTACACTTTTCGAGAGGAAAAATATATTTTTCCCGTATTTACCTACTGAAGAAGAAAATAAATGATAGCTTAAAATAAAAAAAAAACAGTACATTTCATGATTTGATCGCGTTAACTGTATAGTGCATAGTGTACAGTACAGTGTATAGTACACTTTCTACTATAGTAAAATCAGTCCCAAAGAGTCTCACCAAATTTTTTCTAATAAATATATTACCAATACTATGGAATAAACAAGAGTCCGTAATTTTACAATATTTCAAATAGGTGGCACGCATAATATTATAATGATAGTTAATTCATCAGAAATGTATACGTCTTGTCATTATTATTATTTTTAGGTAGGTACCGTTTGGTGTTTACGAGTTTAAGGATACCTATATTGACTTTTCCGAATAACCCGTAGGCACCTACCAAAATAATACTTTAAAAAAAAATATTTAGTAGAAAAAACTGTAGGACCTAGGTACAATAAATACAAACGGACCTAATCGAGTATAACATGCTCACTTAATAATATTTTTGATGTAAAAAAATTTCCCTCAGTTTTTGATGATCTTCTTCCGGTGACGCGGTAAACACCGCCACTGCAGGCCACTACAGAAAGCGCTTCTTTTTTTTATTATTATTATTATTATTTCTTGTCTCGAGTGCCACAACCTACTGGATAAGAAGAATCGTCACGGGGGATTATTGTCTATGTTTTTTTTTTCGCATCGCCGCAAAATCATCTTTCGTTTTCAATTATCCCTGGACCATCTGTCGTAATCGCCGTATAGGTTACCCGTCGTCGGTAGGTGTATTGTGTATATAGGTGTCAAGTATACGGTAGCACAAAGGCGTATATAGACAACGTAACAGCAACAACAATAATATTAATAATAATAATATCACAGACGACGGCAGATTGCGAAACGGAAAACATTACGAACCGCGCGGTCAATCATCTCGCGCAAGCGGCGAAAAGCCCATACGGCGGCCGCGGGGCGCCTGCCGCTCCGACGTCATAATATAATACAGGACCGTATTACCGCTTAGGCTGTGTAGGGTAAAGCCTAGGGCTTCAAATTTTGAAGGTCGGCAAATTTATTTTTGGTGTGACCCAAAAACTACGTTGAGATATTAATTTTAAATATAAATTATAAAAACATGCAATAATATAATATATGAAATAATATTATTAATTATAAAGCATAAGAAAATATATTTTTAGGTTCTAAAATGGTATGCAGGGTGTAACAGAAATATATGACAAATAACAATATATATATATATATATTACAATAGTCGACCGGGCGGAAATTCGTTGCGATAATGGCACGGCGAATAGGCCACGGAATTGATCGTATTAACGTAATATTATGTTATTATATTAATAGTAAATCGTGAAGGAAAGAAGCATTAAAACCCGTATCCCATAATAATACAAAAGTTACAAAAGAATATAAAGATTTAAAAACTCGTAAAAAAATTAAATCAATTTTTTATGATGAAACTCGACATAATGATTTAATTACTTCTGGAAGAGAAAAATTTAAAATTGATACCTTTTTAGTAATTTTAGATCATTTATTGAATGAACTTAACAAGAGAAGAGCTGCGTATCAAAATTTTTTTTTTCCATTTGCTTTTATTGTCATGCTCGAACGTCTATCACATGATGATATTGTTAAAGGAGCTACACAACTTAATGAAATATACTATGATGATATGGATTTAAATGAACTAATCAATGAATGTTTACATTTAAAAGCACACATAATACAACTGGCTGACGATAAGCAAAACAATGTTCCCAAACTTCTTCAAATTTTACATGAAAAAAACTTAATTTCAATACATCCCAACATCGAAATAGCACTCAGAATATATACATCTACTGCGGTCTGCGGTGACTAACTGTTCAGCTGAACGTTCTTTTTCTTGCTTGAAAAGAATAAAAAATTATCTCCGATCAACGATGTCACAGGATTGATTAAATGCACTTGCTATACATATGACGACATCATAGAAGACTTTGCGAAAAAAAAATCAAGACGTAAGACTATAATCTGAAGAATATGAAAAATAATTATTTGTTCGTATTTTTTTTTTGTAATATGCTTAAAGAGTTTTCATTCATTAATAAATAATAATAGTATTGATTTTATGTTTTTATTTTATTAATGATCATTTTTTATATGGGGTGTGGAGAGTTTTTACGTATCACTTACAGAAGTAAAATATCAATACCTATGAAAATTAGGCGGTAAATTTATTTCAGCCTATGGGCGGCAAAAACCTTAATCCGGCCCTGATATAATATAATAACACCTATATGCACACATGATGACGCGAATTCGTTATGCAATTATTACATTATATCATTTTGGGGTACGTATACACCAGAACTCGCTCGTCTCTTCCGGTGTGATCTGCACCACCCAAAAGGGAACATTTTCAATTTTACGTGCGCTGCTTAACCCCGCGCGCTTGCGGGACAACCCGACGTCGCGCGTCTACGAAAAATATTATAATATTATATTATTAACGTCATTATTATTTATATTATCATTATTATACAATATTATAATGATACGGCGAAACGGGAGCCAAACGTGGTGGTCACGACGGCGACCAGTTGCGGCGCCAGAACTTTAATACCAGGTGGGCCAGGCTGGGGCCCAAATTTTTTAGGGAGGGCCAAATTGTTGACTTGATATATATATATAATAAATAATAGTGAAGACAGGCAATTTCGCAGAGGGGTAAGGGGGAGGGTCAACTTCCAATTTTTTTTACACTTCATCGTGTAAACTTACTAAAACAATGATTTGTAAACATGTATTGTATTAATAGTATTTATTTCCTAACAAAATATATATTCATGTAAACACTTTTTAATTTGTATACTCCCTAACCCATAATTACACTCAATACCAACGAATATTTAATAATAATTTATTATTTTCGTATTCAGCCTCTGGAAAATACACGTTATTTATGAGGCTTGAAAGCATATATAGAGCATAGTTGTCAACCCATTCAAAATGTTGTTCACGCCATCTATTATGACTTAATATTTTCATATTTTAATAAATCATGATTTATTCATGAGATATTTTTTAGTATTCTAATATGATTAAATTTAATTTTTGGGGTGGGCCACAGGGGGGCCTGGGACTTTTTAAGGTGGGCCCGGGCCCACCCTTTCCCACCCCTGGCGCCGCCACTGACGGCGACAACTGTATTATTATAATAGAAACAGTTGTCAGGTCGTATTCGCGCTAGCCGATGCAAGTTGCCGCGCGCGCACATGTAATAATATGTGCATGCCTGAGTGTGTATTATATGTATAATATTTAGTACGAGTGTCACAGCCGACCGATACACACGTGTGTAACAGTCTGTCGCTTATCGCATTTTTAGCTACCGATAGCAGTAACCCGAACTTCACTGCAGTCTAAGAGGTATGTTTATTGATTACGGCCCCCCATAACCATAGCCGACAACAGCACTCTCGAGGCCGTCCAATATGTTGGACGACTACGACAACAACCTCCCTCCCCTCTCCACGTCCAACCACCCACAAACAACCTCACAAAGAACCTTTGCAGAAACTACCGCAAATGAATCATTTCCCAAAAAAGACCAAGCAATAATCTTTAACACGATCCAAGATATTCCACAAATTGAATATATCAAAGCTTTCAGCCTACTTACGGCCCCTAAGAATATAAAATTTGCATCACGCGTCTCGAACAACAGGTTCTGCATATACTTTTCAAACAAAATCATCGAAAAACAACCTTTCATAACTATAAACAAAACAGAAATACCGTACCGCCGGCTTATCAACCCGGCCAAACGTATAATAATATCCAATGTCCAGCCGATAATCCCACACGACACAATCGCAAATGCAATTAACGCTCTCTCCATTACAATGTTATCGCCAATTACGTTCATGAAGGCCGGCTTCCCTAACGACGATTTCAGCCATATAGGAAGCTTCAGGCGTCAAGTGTTTATACACCCTGAGCACAGTGACAAAATTCCGAGCTCTATCCTACTACATTTCGACCAAACCGAATATCGCGTATTTCTATCAGACGACACAGTGACATGTTTTTCATGTAAACAAACGGGTCACACATCGAATCACTGCAAAAATGGAGTAGTAAATACAGCCGTATCAATTCTATTCAATAATACAAACATCGCCACAGATAAAAACATCGAAACCACACACTCCTTATATGATATAAGTACCGAAGACAAACCCAAGGAAAATACTCCCTCCTCTACCACCTCACAGAAACCAGCTGCCCAGGTAAAAAGACCGGCACCTTCAACAACCAGTTCTAGCTGCCAGGAAAACACCCCCACTGAAAAACCGCCAAACAATTTAATACCACCACAAGTAGAAACTACAATTACACAGGCAACCAAAGGAACACTTGCATCTAAATTAAAGGATTCTTCCAAAACACCAACCCCCCTACAAAAAAAACCAAAACGCTCAAACTCGATCGAACAAATAATAATTAAACTTGAAGAAGCATTGCTACCTGCAAAAGTCGCCTTTGAAAAAATACCTAACTTAAAAATCGATTTCAACCAACTTAAATATATCATCGAAAACTCACTTACCGAAAAAAAACATCTCCAGTATCTTATCGCCATTCAACATCTCATCCATGGAAATGATCGAGATTATTGATACAGTCCGGCCGAAAGTTAAATCTCTATGCATCAAGAATAGACTCACGAGACTAGCCGATACACTTCTCGATATGTCTCCCTTCACCAGCTCCACCGATTCCACCCTAATCTAAAAACATCAAATACTAACAATCCAAACTATACCGCCAAATTAAGTTTATCACAATGCAAAACCTAAATATAATACAATGGAATCTTAATGGTTTCTACAAAAAAATAAACGAACTTAAAATATTAATAGCCGAGTACTCTCCCGACCTCATATGCCTACAAGAAACCAATTTTACCGACAAATCTCATACTGATCTACGGAACTACACAAGCTACACTCAACACAGAACCAACGGTTTAAGAGCCAGTGGTGGAGTCGCAATTTACGTCAAGACATTTTTTCCCAGCAAACAAATAAACATAAATACACATCTTGAGGCTATCGCAATCTCGGTACAACTCAATGAAACAAATTTAAATATATGTAATTTGTATCTACCCAATCAGACTAAAATTGAATTATTCGACATAGAAAATATCACCAAACAACTTCCTAAGCCATTCATTATATTAGGTGACTACAATGCACATAGCACAACATGGGGGTCCGAAAAAACTGACTATAGAGGTAAGATAATTGAAAAACTATTAGAAAACGACAATATGGTATTGCTAAATGACACCTCCCCTACCCATATCAATATAGCAAATGGTAACCTATCCTGCATCGATCTAACCATGTGCACATCCACCTTAGCCCAAAGACTCAAGTGGAAAGTGCTACCTGATATTTACAGCAGCGACCACCTACCAATACTCACTTACTTCATCCCCAGGTTAGGAGACACAAATAAAAATAAAAGTCGCAGATGGAATCTAAAAACGCCAAACTGGTCACTATTCAGCGACATCATAGAATTTGAAATTACTAAAATACAACACAATGATCATTCAAACATCGAAAACACAGTCAAAACTTTCACTGACATGATTACATCAGCTGCAAATATAGCAATAGGTAGTTCTATAAACCTCACTAAAAAACCCAAAGTTCCCTGGTGGAACGACGAAATCAAAAGAGCTATTCTCAATAAAAAGAATGCCCTAAATACATATAAAAAACATAAAACCTTAGAAAATTTCATACAATTAAAAAAACTTCGTGCTCAAGCCAAATTTCTCATTAAAAAAAGCAAAAAAAATTCATGGAAAGAATTTACATCAAGCATCAACTCCAAAACCAACTCACACATGATATGGAACAAAATTCATTCATTAAAAGGTCTAAATAGAAATCAAGAAATACACATAACCGACGCACAAGGAACAACATCATCTCCAAAAGATGTTGCTGAAAAATTCGGCACATACTTCCAAGCTAATTTTAGCAATGACATTTACAAACAAGATTTCATAGACGAAATAAAAATACCATCCGAAAACTCACCAATAACCTCCACAATAAACCCATGCAACAGTGAACAAATTGACCTGAACTCTAATATAACACTCAACGAAATGGAAACTGCCCTTAAAAAATGTCTGAGCAAAAGTCCAGGCCCCGACAGCATACCTTATTGTTTTATAACTAACCTCGGTATAACAGCAAAAAAATTCCTATTAGATATATACAATAATATATGGCACTCAGGAACTATACCAGATGAATGGAAAAAGGGAATAATAATTCCTATTCTTAAACCAGGAAAAAAGAAACATTCCACTGATGGATACAGACCCATAACACTACTAAATACAATGACAAAAGTTATGGAAAAGATCATAAACTTAAGACTTATATGGTTTCTAGAAAAAAACGAAATATTATCCAAAGAACAAAGCGGTTTTCGCCACGCCAGATCAACAATGGATAACCTAATAATAATAAAAACAGAAATCGAAAACGCATTCAAACACAAACAAATCCTCGGTATGATCAGTCTTGATATAACCAAGGCCTACGATTCCGTATGGAGACACAGAATACTAACTATACTAAGCAAAATTTTAACAAGCGGCAACATGTTCAAATATATATCAAACTTCCTAAAAGAAAGACAATTTCAGGTCAAAGTATCAAATACCTTATCCAATACGTTCTATCAAGAAAACGGTATTCCACAAGGATCCTCTCTGGCAGTTACATTATTTCTCTTAGCTATTAATGATATCGTTGAAACAATACAAGTTCCCGTAATATCCAACCTCTATGCAGACGATTTCAACATACTATGCAGAAGCAATAACCTAAATACAGTGCAAGAGTTTCTCCAAAAAAGTGCGAACAACTTATCAGATTGGTCAAAAAAAACAGGCTTCTCATTCTCTAACCTAAAATCACAAAGCATCATCTTCACAAAACGAAGGAAAATAAAACCCCTAAAAATAACACTAGACAACCTCGTCATACCCAACCAAGATAAAATAAAAATACTAGGAATTACATTCGACTCCAAACTAAATTGGTTACCTCACCTTAAAAATATCCGTGATTCACTATCTCAAAAACTCAATATAATTAAAATAATTTCACATACAACTTGGGGTGGGGACAGCTCTACCCTTTTAATGATCTACAGAGCTTTAATCAGATCAAAAACAGACTATGGCTCAATATTATTCAACAATGCTAACACCTCCCACTTAAATATGATTCAAACCAAACTCAATACTGCCATAAGATTATCAATCGGGGGATTTAAATCCAGCCCAATTGAGAGCATTAGAAACATCGCCAACGAAATTTCCCCTAAACTCAGAAGGGAAAAACTACTTCTATTGCATTGCGCCAGAACCAAAAGAAATACAAACAACCCAGCAACCAAAATAATAAACACATATATACAAGAAGCTGAAAAAGAAAATATAAAAATAAACAACATTCTAGATAGAAAACCCTATAACTTTCCCCCATGGAACACGACATTCAACGTCAACCTCTCACTAACAAATTTCAAAAAAGAAAACACAATTCCCTCCATATATAAAAACATGCTTCAAAATATACTGCAAGAGCATCCAAACAGTGTACAAATTTATACTGATGCCTCCAAAACCAACAACGGAGTCGGGGTTGCAATGATAGTAAATAATCAAAAAATAACATATAAACTTCCTCCCCAAGCCTCAATATTTACAGCAGAAGCGATTGCAATATACAAAGCAGCCAAATATTTCCACTCAGAATGCGTAAGCCCCGAAACTAAATGCATAATTCTTAGCGACTCACTAAGCAATCTAATAGCAATCACAAATACAAGTAACCCGCCCGATACCACAAAGCTCATCCAAGAAGAAACCTTCCAGGCTGGCAAAAAAGGGAAACAAATCCTATTTGTATGGATTCCTGGACATAGTGGTATACTGGGAAACGAAATAGCGGATAAAGAAGCTCATAACGCAATAGACTCAACATCAACCACAAATATAAATTCCATCACATTCGACGACGCGAAAATCGTAATCAACACTTACATAAACAATAAATGCCACTCCCACTGGCGACAACTTAACACTAAACTCAATCAAATTAAAAATAACACCAACCTATGGAAAAATTCCGGACTTAGTAGAAAAGATGAAACCACAATCAACAGACTTCGAATAGGACACACACATCTAACGCACAGCTACTTGATGAGCAACGACGAACCTCCATTATGCGACACATGCAGAGTCCCCCTAACGGTAAAACATATCATCACCGAATGCCATAAATACAACCAGTACCGCGATCAATTCCACATCTCCGAACAAATCTGTCAAGCACTTGGACCAAACCCACAGGATACTAACAACTTAATTTTATTCCTTAAAAAATCAGAATTGTATAACTTAATTTAAAAAAAAAAAAAAAAAAAATTATGAAATATATTATTGTAAATACCTCTTAACTTAACACCTTGTACTAATGACCTAGATGTCGATGTATTCAAGATCAATAAAAAAAAAAAAAAAATATATGTATAATACCTACTCGTGAGTGTGTGTGAGTTGCCGTCTACTATCGGCCGAGTTTCCGCATTAACGCGCGCAACCCGTTCCGCAGCCCACATTGCCGCCGTCCAGCCGTCCAGGGGGTCTATTCTCGAAAACTACGTAAGGAAAAAGAACGAGCAAAATGTACGTAATCCTCCATTTTTACGTAATGTTTCAAAATTTCGTATCCTCGAAACTTTTCGAACGAAACGTATACGTAAATATTCGTAATCGACGTTCGTCAACCTCTGTACGTAACGAATTGATCGTTTCGTATTAATTATCATACTATTTGTTATCTTATCATTTTTGTTTATTGGTTTGTTGTCAATTTGTATTTTTTAAGTATATTAGTATATTACCTACTAGGTATATTTAACAGTTATTAAATAGTTTTATTATACGATTGAGCGTCGATTCCGATATTACAATTAATTTTTTCGGGACTTGGGAAAATGGCTCTTGAAGATATTGTGCACTTGGAAGTCTTGGGAATGTTAGAGGAAGCTGAAATTAGAGGTGTAGGTAATCGGCCTAGGCAATATTGTAATGCCCAAAATGTTATGGAAGGTTGGTTTGTGTAATAATAATAAATAACCTATAAAGACTATAAAGACGGAAATATCATATGTTTATTAGAAAACAAAACAAAACTTAATACCTACTACCTATGCACAAATCATTAATCAATATTATTAGTTATTATTGAAGCTATTTAAATAATTATTTATCCATTATCATTAGTCATTTCTACGCCGACCGACTGTGATAACATAACATTTTTTTTAAAAGCCCGCCAAAACTGTGATAAGACAGACATTTTACAAAGTTACCAACTACATTTTTAATATTTCCTAAGTTCGAGTTATTCGTATACGAATCGGTCGTTTACGTTACTCGTATAATGTTCGAGAATACGAGATAATGAACTTAGACGAGTAAAGATAACGAACTGCTCGTGTACGAGTAGTAACGTATACGTTTGGTCGCTCTTTTCGAGAATAGACCCCTAGGTATATTATAATATTATTATAGTTGTCCGTACACGGTTTTTCGTGTTTAATCGACGGCGGCGGGCCTACGACGACAACGCTAACGAGGTCGATACGATTCCGACTGCATTATTATATTATATTATGCCTACGTAGAGTACACCGCGCGTATGTGTACTTTTGTAAGGAAAAAAAACCAATATTCCATTTCGTCTTAATTCCGACCGATACGCCGTTATTATATTATATTATACTATCATATTATTATACACGTGCAAAGCGTGTATATATAGGTACGCAATTACAACGTACAGCAACTACAACTCTGATCCATTACGCGTATATTATATATATACATAGTATGTATGTACCTATGTATGTATGTATATATTATATATTATACACTTTTATTTTGTATATACGTGTTTATACTATATAGAGGTTCCACGCTAGTTATGCACTACTATTACCAATAATAATAATGTCAATAATGGTAATATTATAATGTACTCGCCTATACTCGGTCTATATATCTCCTGCAGTGCATAATACTCACTATTATATTATTATAATAATACGTAGGTAAGTGAATTTGTCGTCTTCGAAAAGTCGATCTCTACTTTCCGTAACTTTCCGTTTCGTGCCGTTCATTCGCGTTATCGATAATAATAATTGTGCCAGTCTAATATTATGCGCACATATCAGTGGCGCACCCAAGGGGGGGGGCTTTGGGTCTTAAGCCCCCCCAAAAAATATTTTTTCATTAAATTACACATTATTATAGAAAATATAGTATAACAATGATAAATGATAATGTTTTATTTAAAAATGTTGTTATTATGTTAGATACACATATAATAATATTATACATTATAGTTCAATACTACGCGATAAGGTTTGTGACAATCAATATTATACTCTACGGTGGCTATCGTCGATTTTTATTTCGTTGAAAATTATTTTTAGATTTATAGATACAATAACGATTACGTACGGTCGACTTTGATTGTTAACTACGATAACAATGATAATTATGACTTTCGACTGTCTGTGGCATGAAAATCTCGTTTAGATAATTCAGTCTGTTAAATTTTTTACAAAATTGGTTATTTAAAAATTAGTTTTAATTGTTAACTTGTGTGTAAGGGAAAAAGAAAAATTATTAAGCCCCCCCCCCAAGCAAAAATTCTGGGTGCGCGCCTGGCACATATTATTATAATGTATGGCCGTACAGGATGAATGCGTCTACCACTCCTATAGTCCTATATAGGTAATACGGAAGTCTTTATCGCGCAGGATGCACTAAAATGCATCGCGAGGATTCCACCGGACGCGAGATGGCTATTACACTGCTGCATCAGTTCTATTACGATCCGATATTTGGTTTTATAATGTCTTGTATTATTATTTTAACTGATGTGCGTTCATCGTGAGTGACAGGTACCTGTTTTACGAAATATCTTCTCGCCGGGCTATGTTATTATAATATAATTTTAATATACAAGCCTGAAAAGTTTCCCAAAAACAGTATACTGCAACACCAATATAGCTGAAATGATATTATTAAAGGTACATAATTATTAAAATCGACTTAAATAAAATTATGCTTTAATATTGTTTAATGCTCTAAAGGAATTCCTACCGCAATATTATAGTGACGATTTTCTTCGCGGTATGTACTGCTGCACATGATTTTAGGCCCGGTAATATAATGTAATATACGAGTACTGTAATCCGTATTCCGTATATAAATTTAATATATAGGTACCTACTTATACTTGTGTTATGAGTCCTATAGAGGTGGTGTCCGTGAGAACTAAACGATTTTAATAACCATCATAATCCACGTCTCGGGGAAGAAATAACATAAAGATTATTCTAGGTTTGCAAATTATCATTATATTGGGCATCTCTTACAGAGTTAATTATATTCTCTTATTTCGTTAATCTCCCATTGGTGACCGTCGTACACCTTAGTACCTTACCAAAACCAGTAGCAGCCGTGGATGCTGCACCACCCTTTTATTTCCCTTTTATAGCGTATTTCCCGATCCTAGTACGTTTCAGCGCGGGGGGCGGAGCCAAGACCTTTCTGCATGATGTATATATGTTTTTACCGATCCTAATCTGATTCAGAGCGATGCGCTGAACCCACATAGGGTTCGTAATTTTAATACAAACACTTAAAACAAAATATATCATATTACATTTTAACATAGTAGGTACATTGTTTTACTATTAATATTTATTCAAAAAAATTAACAATAACTACATATTTCTGTTTTTATTACTGTGTTCGTCACATTATATTATAGTCATAATATAAGTATTACTAATAATAACAATATTATAAGTTAAATATTTTTAATCAGGCTGAGCGTTGTGATAAAAATATGTCATTAATCTATATAAAATGCAGTATACTAATAAATAATAAATAAAAAAATAATAATTATAATACAAGTAAAATATTTTTTATCAGGCTGAGTATACGTATTACATACAGCTTCATGGTATAAAATTTTCATTAACCTATTATTATAAAATGTGTCAATAAATAATAATAATAATAATAATATAAGTAAAATATTTTAATCAGGCTGTGTTACATGCAGTGTTCTGTGTTATTGTATAAAAATGTAATGCTAGTGATGTGTTACATTGAGTTTGTTAGCTTGTATATTTGCTCCTAAATTTCTTTTGTCTTTTTTTTTATTAATTGAATTGTTTCGGCTTTAGATGGGCACCCTGCTTGAATACGTTTAGATCCTTTAGTGAGTCCAGCTCTATCTTTACGACGTGCGATTGCAGTTGGTTGTACACTTATATTTGTATCCATTCATCATGTAAAGTGTAAATTTGACGTGTCCTGGGATTTATTTGTGAATTTGCTAGGGTTATTGATATTAATATTGATAGCTATTAATATTGATACCATAATTTTGAGTTGAAGGAAACATTATGAGATAACTTAACAATACAATTTATATTAGGTAATTCCACAGCGTAATATAACAACACTGTATGTAACACGTATACAATACATACATTATAATCAGGGTTCGGGACTTAAAGCATTTGCTTATTTTTTTAGATTGACTTAAAATGTAGCAGGGTACTATAGAAGTGTAGGTATGTCATGTTACAACACATTCAATTATGAAATTTGAGAGTGCTTTTTTTTGCTTTTTTCTGTGATTTTTCAAAAAAATGCTTATTTCAAGTTTTTATGATAATTATTGCTTTTTTGACCAGTTTTCATACTTTTTTATGGTTTTCTACTGCAAAGTTGTTTTTGATAGAATTAAAATTAAAAATAATTTAAATAAAAAAATTTATTAAAATTTATTAAAAAATTATTTTTTTTCAACTATTTGTAAATATTGTTTACATTTTATTTTTCAGAAAATCCCTTGGAAAATCCATAAAATCCTCGTCCTGAAAATTAAGTTTAATTTTTTTTATAATATAAAGATAAATTTTTATTTTTATTTTATTGTTTTTTTTTTTTAATAAATATTTTTGCTTAAATTTAAGTTTTTTAAATGCTTATTTGAGTGCTTATAATGATGTTTTTAAGTGCTTATTTAAGTGCTTATTTTAATGATTTTAAGTGCTTTAAGTCCCGAGCCCTGATTATAATAGGTATAGTTACATTATATTAAATAGGTATATAGTCATGTACGATGATGTACCTAACCACAACGCTCAGCCTGATTAAAAATATTTAACTGATATTGTTACTAGTAATACTTATATTATGACTATAATATAATGTGACGAACACAGTAACAAAAACAGAAATATGTATTTATTGTTAATTTTTTTTAAAAATTACGAACCCTATGTGGGTTCAGCGCAGCGCGCTGAATC